TGTGCGGATCAGAAATACAAGCGTGTGTATGGTCTTGGACTCCAGTGACACCTCCTTACACTTGATGACCTTTTCTAATTTCTTCATTGCTGCTCTTCCGAGTCTCATCCTTCTTCAGATTTCTTGGCTGCCGTCTCCCTTTGGATTGAGGATTAAACCAAAGTATACAAAATTTTTAGCTCATCTTTAGTGGATATTTCACATTCATTCAATCTTTAGGGTGTATTTAATCCTAAAGTATATTGTATTTTATAAAAACTTTAAAGTTGTTCTTCCAGGTAAATACAGCATATGCAGGACCTTTCCTCAAAAACAAACAAAAAACAAAAACAAAAAACAAAACAAAACAAAAACCTCTGATGATTTCATAATGGTGACTTCCTTTAACATAGTAAGTTACAGTTAGAGTAAGCCCATTTGAATCAACGGAACATACGGAGGAATTAATTCACCAACTTCCCATTGATTCAACAGACCTACTCCAGTTGGTATTTACTATGTGAAGCAGCAGGATTTTAGCTGGTATGTTGGAAGGTGGGAACCAAGCCTTCTCTTCTGGAGAGAAAAATCCACCCCGTGCACAAATTAAACTTTTTTAAAAAATCCACTTTGTGTCCAGAATGGAGAACAACACATAAACAATTGCTATAGATCTGAGATAGTTCAGAGGAGGACCACAAGGATGATGAGGGGGCTGGAAACCAAGCCTTAAGAGGAAAGAGGGAAAGAACTGGACAGGTTTAGCCTGGAGAAAAGAAGACAGAGGGGAGGGAGGAGAGCACTTTTTGAAGACTTGAAAGGCTGTCCTGCAGAGGAGGGGCAGGATCTGTTCTTGATCACCCTGGGGTGCAGGACATGCAGCAGTGGGCTTAAGTTACAGGAAGCCAGATTGTGGCTGAATATCAGGAAAAACTTTGTAACTGTTAGAGCAGTACGACAATGGAACTCATGACCTTGAGAGGTGGTGAGCTCTCCAACACTGGAAACCTTCGAGAAAAACATATAGAATCACCTGGCAGCTATGCTTTGACTTGGATTCCTGCCTTGAGCAGGGGGTTGGACTCCATGACCTTACAGGCCCCTTCCAACTTCATTAGTTTATGATTCTATGATTTTATGAAATGATGTACTGGTTTGAAATAACGAATGAGGTGGATGCTTCAGACGTCCCTTTGTTGAAACTGGACGTAGGATTTCCCGGGTCTCCTACTGACTTCCTACAGTAATATCATGCAAAGTGTTTAAATCCAAAATGGCACCTCTACTACCAGGGTTCCTTCTTTCATTTCCTTTACATACCCCGGGTTTATTGAAAGGAGCACAGAGCAGCATAAATAAGGATTGTCCAATTTAATTTGCAACAGCAAACTTAGAAAACAGACGAGGCAGGGAGAGAGAGAAAGAGAGAGAGAGAGAGGCCAGGCCAGGCCAGGGAGGTTCATGGGTGAATTGATGGCACCTCTACTACCAGGGTTCCTTCTTTCATTTCCTTTACATACCCCGGGTTTATTGAAAGGAGCACAGAGCAGCATAAATAAGGATTGTCCAATTTAATTTGCAACAGCAAACTTAGAAAACAGACGAGGCAGGGAGAGAGAGAAAGAGAGAGAGAGAGAGGCCAGGCCAGGCCAGGGAGGTTCATGGGTGAATTGAGATGTGAAGGAAATCTCCCTGATCCAATTCCATCAAGCTAGACATGCCCACAGTGGGATGTGGTGGCACTGCAGGTTAAACCGCAGAAGCTTCTGTGCTGCAAGGTCAGAAGACCAGCCGTCGTGAGATCGAATCCATGTGACGGAGTGAGCTCCCGTTGCTCGTCCCAGCTCCTGCCAACCTAGCAGTTCGAAAGCTTGTAAAAATGTGAGTAGATAAATAGGTACCACCTCAATGGGAAGGTCACAGCGTTCTGTGTCTAGTCGTGCTGGCCACGTGACCACAGAAATTGTCTTCAGACAAACGTTGGTTCTACAACTTGGAGACAGGGATGATCACCTCCCCCTCGAGTTGGACACGACTGGACTAAATGTCAAAGGGAACTTTTACTAGACATGCCCACATAAAGATTTTTTTCACACAACCGTAGCCCTTTTTCTTGCACTGAAAGCAGCTATGCCGAGGGGGCAGGCAGATGGCATTCATCACAAGCACACCATACTTCCTTTGGGTGGGTGGGGAAGAATGTAATTTAACACCATCAACCTCACATTCAAATGTCATAGAAACAGTGTGGGGGCAAGCCCATAAAAATGGGCAGTCACCCACTCCTAGGAGAAGAACCAGATTTAGACAAGGTTTTAGAAACTCAGTACCTTCCTGATGTTTTGGGCTAGAGTTCCAAAGTGGGGGTTTATGGGAGCGGTCGTCTGGTGCCTCTCTGTACGGTTCCAGGTTGAAGAATGCCAACTTTAGATTTTGGACTTTTCTGTGTGGATGTTGTTATTTGCTATCAAAATGTCTCTGACCCTATGAATGAGCGATTTCCAGAAAGTCAGCGATTGCAGGCGTGGAAGCTGTGGCTTCCTTTACTAAGTCAACCCACCTTCTCTATTGGGTCCTCCTCTTTTCCTGCTGGCTTCAACTTTTGCTAGCATTATTGTTTTTTTCCACCAAGTCTGAGGGGGTGATCACCTGCGAGTCAACCAACTTTCTCTATTTGGTCCTCCTCTTATCCTGCTGGTTTCAACTTTTGCTAGCATTATTGTTTTCTCCACCAAGTCTGAGGGGGTGATCACCTGCCTGCTTGCACCAGACAGAGTTGTTTTCACCAGAGCAATCTCCCTTAAAGTAACCCTTCTGTCTTCCACGGAATAACTCAAGTTCCACTCCAAAATACAAAAGCCGTACAGCTTGACCAAAAAGGATCTGCTTCGGGCATGGATTGAGGCCAGGCTGGAGAGCATTTTTCCATGTGATTGCCGGGAAACAGATCATACTGGTCTTCTGCATAAGCTCTCCAAACGGCGATCTGCAGGAGGACCCCCTTATCTGTGGGATCAGTATCTCCTGATTCACTTATCCATGGTCTGAAAATATTACAAATTTTGAAAAATCCCCCAAATACATATTTCATTACCAGAACTGGCCTGAAGAGGGAGACAGAAACCATGCTATGCATTTCATTCACTATTAAAATAGCATTCACCATATTCCATATTTTTCAGCATCCATTGGAGAGGGCTTCGGACCGATCCCCACAGATATGGGGTCCTACTGTATTTCCTGATGCAAACACACATTGCACTTTTAATGTGGTCAAAGTACAATAGACCCAGTCTTGTCCAGAGACCTTTGGGTAGAGTGGGCGGCATATAAAATAAATAAATAAATAAATAGACAAACAAATAACTATGTATAGTACTTCCTGGTTTGCTTGCAGTTTGATGTAAAAGGACTTGATTATATTATGATCTAATATATGTTGTCATTTACATAGAGAGGATACATGATCCATTTTGGCTTCCTTTTTTGGAGTCTCTAATAATAAATAGTTATAGTTCATTCTTATTGTTACATTCTACCAAGTCACTTCTGACTTCAATGACCTTAGGAAGGAGTGGCCCCCGCAAAGGTCCTGTTGCTAGTGACCTAGTTCAGGCCATGTTCTTGAGTCTATCCATCTATTGTTTTGGTTTTTCTCTTTTCCTGCTGTCTTCAGCTTTTTCCCAGCACCATTGTCTTTTCCAGGGAATCTTGTGTTCTCACGAGGTACCCAAGGATATAAAAATGTCTGTGATCTAAAGGTTTCTCTCTTTGGGCATCTCGTGAGAAGATTATAATTCATAGATACCATTATGTCATTTTTGGGGCAGCTGGGGCTTGTCATTTTTCATACCAAGGCGAGACAGAAATTTTGTTGGTCAGCATAAAAAACCAAACTGAGATTGGGATTGCAGCTGGTCCTGCACAGAAATGTATTCCCTCTAAATAACAAGGTTCATGGTCTGAAGGGAATATTCAGAAGTAGTTTACCTTCCCTTTCTTCTGGAAAGGATCCCCAGGACTCCTGTGCAGCTGGCCCAAGGCCACCCAGGCTGGCTCTTCTCCCAGGAGGCCCATTGGGAGGAATCGAACTCCCAACCTCTGGCTCGGCAGCCAGATAGCTGAACCACTGAGCTCTAATTGTTGTCGGCAGCCAGATACCTGAACCACTGAGCTATCCAGCCAGCTACCTCAATAAGTGTTGAGAGGTGTGGGAAATTCTCAGTTAAAGGCACAGCAGAGGGCCAGCTCTCCAAGGTCAGAATTAGCTACGGAAGTCCCCCCTTTTCAATGTTCCACCGTCTCTAAAGAGACTCTCAAGCTGAGGAAGAAGGGATTCAGATGTAAATCACATCTGAAACCTCTACATCTAGAAAACCTTGGATTAGGTCACCATAAATGGGCAGCGTGTAATTAGTACTAGTATTTTGATTTGTTCATCCACCTTGTGCTCCCATTCGGTCCTTGACGTTCCCGTACCTGGAAAAGTCCAGAAACAATCTGCCTGCACTACTCGGGCATCCGTGTCCCTTCGGCTGACCAGTCAGGTCCAAAACCATTGAGTGGTTTTGTAGGTTGGAAACAGGGAGAGAGGAAATATTCCTCTTTACAAAACCCGGTACGTGTGCCTGATTATGTTTTCTATACGGAGATTAGATCCTCTGTAGCAAAGCTGGTTGCTTGCACAGCAAGGTGCTCCTTAAACCATAGTCTACCAGTAATTAAACCACGGGCTGCTTTACACAGCAAATTGAAATGGTGACTCAATATACCCCTATTTTTCTGTGTATAAGACGCCCCCATGTATAAGATGCCCCCCTCACTTTTCTAATCCAAAATTAAGAAATCTAAGTGGGGCTTAGCAAGTGCAGGGGGAAAAGGATCAAAGCGCTGCAGGATCGCTTTGATCCCTGTTTTCCCCTCCACTTGTTTTTGTTCTCTCCTCAGCTTACTTCCATGCATAAGACAACCCTCAATTTTTAGTCTAAAGATTTTAGACAAAAGTATAGTCTTATACATGGAAAAGTATGGTAATTTCTTTATGGAATCCTACAGCCTTTATCTTCCTTTATCTACTCTTTGCAGATCCCGGATTAACAGCGGCCATTCCAATTGCCACCGAGTGGCCAGCCACGGAATCCGGATTCTTCACCAGCACCGACTATGGACTATCCTGGTGGACCAGTGACTATTTTGAACCCACAAGGACGACGACCACGGAACAGGTGCTCACGCTTCAAAGCACAGTCCCGCCCGCGACAGAAGTCACGTCTGAAACAAACCCAGGTTCTGTCCATGACGGGAACTCTTCTGGTCTTGTGAGAAATGAGTCACTGGTCTCTCTGTTGGCCTCCAATGAAAGCCACGTTGATTCTGCCACGCGTGGCCCCGACGAAGGAGAAACCACATGGCTGGGAGCAAAGACAGAGGAGAGGCCCGAGATCCAAGAGGAGGAAGTTTTGGCCAAGGCAAACTCCATGGAAGAAGGGGCAATTAAAACAACCTCTGCTGAGTTGAACAATTCCACCTCCTCGACCACCTTGCTCTCTCTAGGAACGCTTCCCACTGTTTTCAATGAACAGCCAGACGCACCCGAGCATCTAACAGACACAGGTGCTGGTCTAACTGAGTCTTTCTCAGAGGGGAGTGGAGAGGCCTCAGCCCCATCCTCAGCCCCAGGACTTCTCTCTAGCAACACAGAACAGCCGCCTGTAGGAGGAACAGCACCTGCTTCTGCCGGCGGAACATCTCCAGGGGATGGCGCTGTGACAGCCAAGGAGGCTCCATCCCTCAGAGTACCGTTTCCAGATTCACTGCCTCCTCGCAACACCATCACTGGCTCCTCAGAGTCAGGTGGACCTGCCACCGTTTCGATGCCGCTTTCTCCTGGAAACAAACCAGATCAGGGTGCAGTAGGAAGAGGGGATGCCGATAGCTCTGCGTCGGTCACGGCACCCAACGGCGATGAAATGGCAGCCTTCATCCCGCCCTCTGAGGAGACAGGGCTTAGCCCAGAAAGCACTGCCAAGGAGGTCCCTCTTGGTGAAGCACAAGACCTTGAAGATGTAGACGCATCAGATTACTCTCCGGCAGGTGGCGCGACAGACCCCTCCGCAGGCTCTTCCCATCTGGACTCTGAGGCCACCCCAGCTCCTTCGGACATGCAGGTGGACTCGGGAGCCGCCACCACACCTGAGGATCTAGAAGGTTCCGCGGACCTGATGGGAGAGGAGGTGCCTTTTGCCCCATCCGGCATGGAGCCTGAGTTTGTGACTGACGGAGCGCACGTTCTTGGAGGCCCTGGCAACGAAGTGACCCTACCCTTTGCGGACAAGAGAGTAGGAACCACGTCACCAATCAGCAATAACCAGGTTGAAACGCCCTCGGAGGTGCAGCTCGGTAAAGAAGAGACCGGACAGGCCGCCACAGCAAGCTCTGACATGACAGACAATGGTTCCGTAGATGTCTCTCCGTTTATTGCAGATGCTGGAATACCGAGAGAAAGCGAGACGCCTTCAGGAGAGGCATCCCCTTCTATGCCTCTTGACAGCTCCCTTCCTACGTCTTTCGGTTCAGGAGGTCAAGCAGGGGAAGCCTCTTCCGGTCTGCCGCCCAACCACCTGGGCGCTTCTCCCGAAGTTGGCGTCGTGGCAGGAGATAACTGGGAGGGCAGTGGTAGCCCAGGTCCAGATGGCGAGGGAGCTGTTGCAGGAGTTAGCAGTGGCCGCCAGGCTGGGACAGGTCCCCCATCTTCAGATGCCTTCCCCGGCTTGGATGAGAAAGGGACGGCACAGGGATCCTTGGCCGGTAGTGGAATTGACACCCAGCCGCTTGTGCAGGTTGGAGAGGCGATCACGACAGACCAGGCATGGAGAGAGAAAAATGCTTCTTTAGCTGCAGCATCTCCAACGGAAGATGGAAAGGCATTCCCAGCAAACGGGGTCTCGGGTGGAGAGTCCTCTTCTGTTTTGGCCCTTCCAGGGGCAGAATCCCCACCTTCATCAGGAGCCCAACCCACTGTCCCTTCCAGTGTTCCCGTTTCCAATAAGCCGCCTGCGTTAAAACCAGGGTCTGTTGCTTCCGAAAAGGCCCAAGGATTGGCTGGCACTTTAAATGTGATCTGGAAAGAAACGTCATCCTCATCGGGTCCCTCGGGAGCAGAATCACAAACAGTCCCACCCTCCCCTGCAGCAGAAGCATCACCAGATGTTTCCTCCAGCGTGAGCGAGAAGGAAGCGTCATTGGCTCCACAAGAAGGAGGGTCACAATCATCTTCTCCTGCCATTGTAGGGACAGCCAATGATGGAGAATCTCTGCTGTCTCCAGATGGTTCTGCATCAGCTGGAGAAGCATCCCCAGATGTTTCCTCCAGTGTGAGCGAGAAGGAAGCATCGCTCGGTCCACAAGAAGGAGGGTCACAATCATCTTCTCCTGCCATTGTAGGGACAGCCAATGATGGAGAATCTCTGCTGTCTCCAGATGGTTCTGCATCAGCTGGAGAAGCATCCCCAGATGTTTCCTCCAGTGTGAGCGAGAAGGAAGCATCGCTCGGTCCACAAGAAGGAGGGTCACAATCATCTTCTCCTGCCATTGTAGGGACAGCCAATGATGGAGAATCTCTGCTGTCTCCAGATGGTTCTGCATCAGCTGGAGAAGCATCCCCAGATGTTTCCTCCAGTGTGAGCGAGAAGGAAGCATCGCTCGGTCCACAAGAAGGAGGGTCACAATCATCTTCTCCTGCCATTGTAGGGACAGCCAATGATGGAGAATCTCTGCTGTCTCCAGATGGTTCTGCATCAGCTGGAGAAGCATCCCCAGATGTTTCCTCCAGTGTGAGCGAGAAGGAAGCATCGCTCGGTCCACAAGAAGGAGGGTCACAATCATCTTCTCCTGCCATTGTAGGGACAGCCAATGATGGAGAATCTCTGCTGTCTCCAGATGGTTCTGCATCAGCTGGAGAAGCATCCCCAGATGTTTCCTCCAGTGTGAGCGAGAAGGAAGCATCGCTCGGTCCACAAGAAGGAGGGTCACAATCATCTTCTCCTGCCATTGTAGGGACAGCCAATGATGGAGAATCTCTGCTGTCTCCAGATGGTTCTGCATCAGCTGGAGAAGCATCCCCAGATGTTTCCTCCAGTGTGAGCGAGAAGGAAGCATCGCTCGGTCCACAAGAAGGAGGGTCACAATCATCTTCTCCTGCCATTGTAGGGACAGCCAATGATGGAGAATCTCTGCTGTCTCCAGATGGTTCTGCATCAGCTGGAGAAGCATCCCCAGATGTTTCCTCCAGTGTGAGCGAGAAGGAAGCATCGCTCGGTCCACAAGAAGGAGGGTCACAATCATCTTCTCCTGCCATTGTAGGGACAGCCAATGATGGAGAATCTCTGCTGTCTCCAGATGGTTCTGCATCAGCTGGAGAAGCATCCCCAGATGTTTCCTCCAGTGTGAGCGAGAAGGAAGCATCGCTCGGTCCACAAGAAGGAGGGTCACAATCATCTTCTCCTGCCATTGTAGGGACAGCCAATGATGGAGAATCTCTGCTGTCTCCAGATGGTTCTGCATCAGCTGGAGAAGCATCCCCAGATGTTTCCTCCAGTGTGAGCGAGAAGGAAGCATCGCTCGGTCCACAAGAAGGAGGGTCACAATCATCTTCTCCTGCCATTGTAGGGACAGCCAATGATGGAGAATCTCTGCTGTCTCCAGATGGTTCTGCATCAGCTGGAGAAGCATCCCCAGATGTTTCCTCCAGTGTGAGCGAGAAGGAAGCATCGCTCGGTCCACAAGAAGGAGGGTCACAATCATCTTCTCCTGCCATTGTAGGGACAGCCAATGATGGAGAATCTCTGCTGTCTCCAGATGGTTCTGCATCAGCTGGAGAAGCATCCCCAGATGTTTCCTCCAGTGTGAGCGAGAAGGAAGCATCGCTCGGTCCACAAGAAGGAGGGTCACAATCATCTTCTCCTGCCATTGTAGGGACAGCCAATGATGGAGAATCTCTGCTGTCTCCAGATGGTTCTGCATCAGCTGGAGAAGCATCCCCAGATGTTTCCTCCAGTGTGAGCGAGAAGGAAGCATCGCTCGGTCCACAAGAAGGAGGGTCACAATCATCTTCTCCTGCCATTGTAGGGACAGCCAATGATGGAGAATCTCTGCTGTCTCCAGATGGTTCTGCATCAGCTGGAGAAGCATCCCCAGATGTTTCCTCCAGTGTGAGCGAGAAGGAAGCATCGCTCGGTCCACAAGAAGGAGGGTCACAATCATCTTCTCCTGCCATTGTAGGGACAGCCAATGATGGAGAATCTCTGCTGTCTCCAGATGGTTCTGCATCAGCTGGAGAAGCATCCCCAGATGTTTCCTCCAGTGTGAGCGAGAAGGAAGCATCGCTCGGTCCACAAGAAGGAGGGTCACAATCATCTTCTCCTGCCATTGTAGGGACAGCCAATGATGGAGAATCTCTGCTGTCTCCAGATGGTTCTGCATCAGCTGGAGAAGCATCCCCAGATGTTTCCTCCAGTGTGAGCGAGAAGGAAGCATCGCTCGGTCCACAAGAAGGAGGGTCACAATCATCTTCTCCTGCCATTGTAGGGACAGCCAATGATGGAGAATCTCTGCTGTCTCCAGATGGTTCTGCATCAGCTGGAGAAGCATCCCCAGATGTTTCCTCCAGTGTGAGCGAGAAGGAAGCATCGCTCGGTCCACAAGAAGGAGGGTCACAATCATCTTCTCCTGCCATTGTAGGGACAGCCAATGATGGAGAATCTCTGCTGTCTCCAGATGGTTCTGCATCAGCTGGAGAAGCATCCCCAGATGTTTCCTCCAGTGTGAGCGAGAAGGAAGCATCGCTCGGTCCACAAGAAGGAGGGTCACAATCATCTTCTCCTGCCATTGTAGGGACAGCCAATGATGGAGAATCTCTGCTGTCTCCAGATGGTTCTGCATCAGCTGGAGAAGCATCCCCAGATGTTTCCTCCAGTGTGAGCGAGAAGGAAGCATCGCTCGGTCCACAAGAAGGAGGGTCACAATCATCTTCTCCTGCCATTGTAGGGACAGCCAATGATGGAGAATCTCTGCTGTCTCCAGATGGTTCTGCATCAGCTGGAGAAGCATCCCCAGATGTTTCCTCCAGTGTGAGCGAGAAGGAAGCATCGCTCGGTCCACAAGAAGGAGGGTCACAATCATCTTCTCCTGCCATTGTAGGGACAGCCAATGATGGAGAATCTCTGCTGTCTCCAGATGGTTCTGCATCAGCTGGAGAAGCATCCCCAGATGTTTCCTCCAGTGTGAGCGAGAAGGAAGCATCGCTCGGTCCACAAGAAGGAGGGTCACAATCATCTTCTCCTGCCATTGTAGGGACAGCCAATGATGGAGAATCTCTGCTGTCTCCAGATGGTTCTGCATCAGCTGGAGAAGCATCCCCAGATGTTTCCTCCAGTGTGAGCGAGAAGGAAGCATCGCTCGGTCCACAAGAAGGAGGGTCACAATCATCTTCTCCTGCCATTGTAGGGACAGCCAATGATGGAGAATCTCTGCTGTCTCCAGATGGTTCTGCATCAGCTGGAGAAGCATCCCCAGATGTTTCCTCCAGTGTGAGCGAGAAGGAAGCATCGCTCGGTCCACAAGAAGGAGGGTCACAATCATCTTCTCCTGCCATTGTAGGGACAGCCAATGATGGAGAATCTCTGCTGTCTCCAGATGGTTCTGCATCAGCTGGAGAAGCATCCCCAGATGTTTCCTCCAGTGTGAGCGAGAAGGAAGCTTCACTGGCTCCACAAGAAGAAGGATCACAATCAGCTTCTCCTTCCTTTGAAGGGACAGCCAATGATGGAGAATCTCTGCTGTCTCCAGATGGTTCTGCAACAGCAGGAGAAGCATCACCAGATGTTTCCTCCAGTGTGAGTGAGAAGGAATCATCGCTGGCTCCACCAGGAGGGTCACAATCAGCTTCTCCTTCCATTGAAGCTTCGCCCTCACCTAGAGCAGACAACGTCGCTGAACAGGTTGGAGAGAAATCTGGATCCACAGCTGGTGGAGAATCTTTTCCTCATCTCTCATCTGTGGATGGATCCGTAGCACTAAGCCACAAGATTTCAGGAGGAACTGTGGCTTCTGGTTCCTCCTCTCTTGAAGGGAACTCGGCCTCTGAAGGAAGTTCACAAGAGGCTTCTCACATTACAAGCTCCTCGGAGCTGCTGTCAGGGAGTGAGAATATTAGTGACAATGGGAGAATCCTAGATAATGCAGGAGACACAGAACCTTCTTTGCTCGCTGGAAGCGGACAACCGGATGCTGAAAGCACAGGCGTTTTATCCAACGAGTCATCAAGTGGTCTGTCTTCTCAGACGGCAAAGGATGTACCAGAAGGCACAGAAACGGGGGAAACAGACGCTTTCTCCTCAGATTCAGACATCCAAGTAGCTGGACCTTCACCCTACGGTCTTGCAAGTCCTTCTGGCGAACTAGTGTCACCAAGCGGCAATTTAGAAGGACGTGGTGATTCCAACAGCCCTGTCTCATCAGTCGGCAAGGCCACATCTACAGCTGCTGATGAAGGAGGACCTCTCTCCCTTCCTGGTGCACCGCAGGATCCTTCTAAGACCCTACCCCTACTGCCCGGCGGAGATGCAGAACCTGAGGCCAAAGGAGAAGCACCTCCTCGCTCTTCCAAAGGCAAAGTTAAGGGAACTGGGAATGAAAAGGCACTTCCTGGAAAACCATCCTCTTCTGTTTTTGCCTCTTCCAGCAAAAGCACTTCAGGTTCAGGGACTGCAAAGTCAGGAGCTACGCCTGGTTCCGGTGTTTCCATCCCTTCAGATTCCTCTGCGAAGACTAAGCCAGCCGTCCGGGTGAGGGAAGACCCGTCGGGCCGTGCCAAAGGTTCGCCCGCAGATAAACCAGGTGCCCAACGTACAGCTTCAGGCGCTAGTCCGGGGGCGACCAAACCCTCGCAAGCCTCAGGCAAGAAGTCGGAGAAGAAAGAAGACAGAGAAAAACCAGACAAGAAGCAAGAAAGCAGGAAAACAGAGAAGAGAAAAGAAAGCAAGGATTCAGAGGAGAAATCTGATTTGAAGTCTAAGAACAGAGAAGCAAAAACGGCTAAGAAAAACTCAGAAGAGAAGAATCGCACGCCTGTCGTTTCGACACCAGAACCGTCAGGTTGGTTGGCCAAGAATCTACCCATTTTGTTTATTTATACAATCTTCCTTGCCATAAAATTCTTGAGTATAGCCTTCCCATTCCTTCATTCCTTCCTTCCTTCAATTTCTATACCACCTGTTCAGCCTGCAGCCACTCAGGGACAAATCTTCCTTGCCATAAAATTCTTGAGTATAGCCTTCCCATTCCTTCATTCCTTCCTTCCTTCAATTTCTATACCACCCGTTCAGCCTGCAGCCACTCTGGGCAGTTTACAGCTTAGAAAACAGAACAATCAAAATCAAATTATACTCATCCATCATAAAACAACATGCCTGCAGCTTATACAATAGAAATAACAAACCTTTAACATCCATGCTGCAACACTGTGCACAACAACTAAGGATTTAAATTGGCAGTGATATGGTAGCAGGTGTATCTCCCAGTACATGTATCTTTATATATAATCACATGATTGTAAGAGAAGAACACTAAGTAAAAGGTAGGAAGGTCCCATGGACATGATGTTTAAGACAGGATATCGAAGTGCATTTGACGTATCAGTCCACTGAACTAATTAGTACTAGTAACATGATTATGAATTACTATTGTGGTTGCCACAAGGTGACAAGGGGGTAGCCACTGGCTTTTTAAAAACACACTGGCCATAAAACAGCACTGATTTTGCTTCCAGCTGTTCATCAGCTCCTTGCCCTTCCTTCCAGGTGTGCACGCCCCATGGCTCTACAAGCCAGGCAGTTGGGCTCAGGTGAGTTACAGGCAGAAGTGCCTCGACTGGGTTAGCGACGAGCAGCAGCCGTCCGACTGGAACAGCAACTTGCCGGCTTGCCCTTGCTCCCTCCAACAGGGTCTCTCAGACCATCGCTACACACGCAGCCAAAAAGGTACGTTATGCGGAGGGCATATGGGACCCTGGACAGAGCCAGGAAATGTTGCTTTCCTTGACCATGGTCCCAGCACCTCACAGCCAATGTGGGAACTGTAGTTCGAAAGGTGACCTTCTCTGGTGGCTTCTGTGCAGCTCGAGATAGAAAGCAAGATGCCCTGGAGTGCCAGAAAGAGAAACAAGTGGGGTCCTAGATCAAATCAAGCCTGAAGGATCTCTGGAGGGAAAAAATGTTGACACGGAGGCTGTCCTATTTTGGGCACCCCTCGGAGAAGGCAGGATTCTCTGGAAGAGACCATCGTGCTGGGAAAGGTGGAAGGCAGCAGGAAAAGAGGGAGGCCAAATACGAGATGGACAGACTCCCTCAAGGAAGCCACAGGCTTGAATTTGCAAGAGCTGAGCAGGGCTGTTGAAGACAGGAATGAGATCACTCATTCATAGGGTTGCCATAAGTCGTAACCCTACGAATTGATAACACATAACAACAACAGGCCCATGGGGTACATTTAAGCCCTAAGTCGTAACCCTACGACTTGATAACACATAATAACAACAGGCCCATGGGGTACATTTAAGCCTTTGTTCCACTTCAGTGGATCTGTGGCTCAGAAGGACTCCCCTCCATTCACTGTTCTTTGCATGGTCTTAACGGCCTGCATCTCTCTCAGGACATTGAGCCATCCTGGTTTGGTTCTCTTCCAACAAACCTGGTTTGGTTCTCTTCCAACAAACCTGGTTTGGTTCTCTTCCAATCCAACTGGTTTGGTTCTCTTCCAACAAACCTGGTTTGGTTCTCTACCAACAAACCAGAAAAGCGATCCAGGGTTCGTTGCAGGCTTGCTTGCTTTGGTTGGTTAGGAGAGAAAGCAACTAGACAAGAAGTGACACCTCCTTTCTTTATGATGAACAGAACAACCCAGAGGACACAGTTCTGTGGTTTGTTTAGCCGGTCCTGCTCAGAGGAGGGGCAAAAGGGTTGGGGGTGCACCAGAAACCCTAGTTGATGTAAACACCGAGCCAGGATATCCCCAGTTCCTGAACATCTCATGTCTTCCAACAGCAGATGCAGGATCTTGGTGTGTAAATGAATCCAGTGATAGGGTTATAGAAACATAAGCAGCCCAGAAGGGTTTGAGAAGATGGATATTATAAATATACACAATAATAATAATGCTAGTAGTAATTACATGTCACCAAGTCAATTCTGGCTTGTGGCAACTGTTTTAAAGGGTTTTCCAAACAGAAAAAACCCTCAGAAGTGGGTTACTTTTCCCTTCTTCTGGGAGGGATCCCTGGGACAGTGCGGCTGGCCCAAGGCCACCCAGGCTGGCTCTACTCCTAGGAGACCCAGTGGGGGAATCAAACTCCCAACCTCTGGCTCCACAGCTGGATACCTAAACCAAAGAGCTATCCAACCAGCTTAAATATGCACAAGTGCCTCTTTTTTTCCGTCTGTGGAAAACCAGAGTACATGCTCCCCCCCCCTTTCGATGCCCCCACGCCTCCACTCAGAGGCTTCACCACGTGGAGGAGACCAAACCTCTTACATTTTTGCAGGTTTGCCGGATTCTCGCTTCACTATGCTGTATTCTTCTAAGCCCAACGAACATGGCGCGGGAGTCCGGTGTCTCTACCATAAAAAGAACAACCAGCTTGTGGAAGGGCATCAGGAGAGAGTCTGGAAATTCTGGAGGAGAATCTCCCCTAACACTGGTAAGCAGCAAACTGGATGACGTACAAAATGTACCGGTCGCTTTGCTTCTAACTGTCCCCTGGCCTTTTGCCAGGTCTCCGCCTTTCGCGCAGAGAAAGGACGTTGCGCCGGAAGCCAACTCTGAAGAACAGAGGGATTTTTTTTTAGAAAAGGAAGAGCTGACTCTGTCCCAGTCAGGATCTTCCCCGGAAATATTTTTGGGTCAAGCTGTCATCATGATTTATGCACTTATTTCCCCCGACCCAACATCTCCTGTTTCTAGATGGGGAGCTGAAATTGTATGACTGGTGTTGTAACCAGGCTGGAAACCAGCAATTCTGTGATAAGTACCACCAGAAAAGACCCAGGATCGGCTGTGACGGATACAGGCCTCCGGTCAAAGGTGAGTTTTCAGCGGCTACAAAAGCGCTTTGGGCTCTTCAGATTAGAGAAAAGGCGCCTGGAGGGGGGGAAATATGATGGAGACGTATAAAATGATGCAGGGGATGGATAGAAAGTGGAGAGAGGGAAGCTCTTTTCCCTCTCACGCAAGACCAGAACCAGGAGACATCCACTCAAACTGAGTGTTGGGAGAGTGAGAACAGAAAAAAAGAAAATATTTCTTGACCCAGTGTGTTGTTAGTCTGTGGAACTCCCTGCCCCAGGATGTGGGGATGGCATCTGGCCTAGAAGCCTTGAAGAGGGGATGGGACAGGTTCCTGGAGGAAAAGTCCATCACAGATGACAAGCCATGATGGGGATGTATAATCTCCAGGCTTCGAAGGAAAGGACCTCCAAAGGCCAGATGCAGGGGAGGGGGATCAGGAGATAGGTATCTCGTGGTCTCAGGGGCTCCCAGAGGCATCTGGTGGGGCCACGGTGAGGTCCAGGGAGCTAGGCAAGCGGGGCCCTTGGCCTGATCCAGCACAGGGCTCTTCTGAGGTTCTTATGTTCTTACATTGACTTATTGTTCAGTGATTGAGTCACAGAATCATAGCTCATTTCCAAGCATTGCTAATACGTTAGCAAGAGTTCAAAGGAAATGCAAAACTTCCTCCCGCTTGCCCTCCAAAGGTGAGCAGAACAGATGGTTTCCATTTCTCAAGATCACTAAAACAATCTGTTTCCTGAGACAATCAAAGGTGTGTTTTTTTTGGCCCTTAAGGAATCCCCGCCTCTAATGACACGTTCTCTGTAGTGTATAGTTTGGCCCTATGCTCCTCCTGAAAATTCAGTCTGCTATTCCCATTGGGGGAATACCCTCTGCTCCCAGCAAACAGATCAGGTTGGGGGCAGTGCGCTCATGAAACAGTATTTGGGAAGGAACATCAGGAATCAGCTGGGCACCAATCAGTATTTGTTATTTTCCTTGAACCAACAGCTTCTGCTTCTTCAGAAGAGGAGCCGGAGAATGAAGCAAGAGGTAAGACTGTTCAATGGTGGGGCTGCCCTAGATCTAACTTACACCTACATTTCCACACAATTGACCTCCTTCAAGCTCTTCAGCTTCTAAATGTACAGATGGTTTGCCTGTCCTGGGTGGCCACAATCATAATTACTCTCTTGAATAAAAACGACCTGCTCCAGCCCTTATTAGGAATCTAAAAAGAGCCTCGTTGGTTCAGACCACAGGCTCGAAAAGTTACCTTTCCTGCAACCCACTTTCATCCAAAAATGTAACTTTTGGGATTTCTGGTTCCGAAGCAGGATGATTGGTTCCCTTTTGTTCATCTTTGGTGGCTACTGGAATGTTGACCGGTTTAATTGGCCCTCTTATCGTTTCTAAATCTCTCGGTTGAATAAACTTGATGAAACTGTTTCTAAACAGAGTATTTTGTTTTAAGGAGAGGGCGGGTTACCAGCCAAGGCTAGAGAAGAAAAAGCAATTTAAAGTTAGGGAAGCAGGCAGGCTGCCTTCGAAATAGGGTAGAGGAATGGGGGAATGGTAGGAGAAAATCAGCCTTTCTGATCTTAGGGCTCCCTTGACGTACTGGATGACAACTCCCATTATCCCCATGGTAGGTCATTTGGTCTAGTGCCTCTGGAAGATGCTGGGCTGAGGGAGGATGAAGAGGGACAAAGCCTGTTACAGTTATTTGGAGGTAACAGACCTCAATCCACTTTCAAAGTCCCAGTTTTTTTAACCTACACAATTCAAGTGTTGAATCAGTGTTTGAGGTGAACTGTCAAATAAGAGTGTGTTGGATGGGTGTGTTCCTCAGAGAAATTAAGAGAACAAATATGGCTCTGTATAAACTGTGCTCCCCAGAGTAACAACTTGACAAGAAGCAATCCTATATTAGACACGTAGGTCTGGTGGTAGTTTTGAATTTTGTCTAAAAAATGTCTTGCTACACAACAAAGTGCACAGAGTTAACAGAGCAGAATTAGCTTCACGCCTCCCCAGAACAGACCACTCTTTTACTCTCATCCACTGACACTTACAATCTCAGTAATTCACTCCGGGACATTGGTAAGAGAAAGAATAAAAAGGTCTCATTCACTCACAGTTCTGAACAGATCAAAAACAGCATGCTGTCCATAAATGAAAGCTTAAAGTAACAAGCCTCAGCAGACCCACTGCTGAGGTCCTCCAGCAGACTCCTGCAGACTACACACTCACTACTGTACTAACAACATAACAGCCTGCAGACTTAGAAAGAGAGAGAAAGAGACTCCAAAATGGAGAGGCAGGGCTCTCTTTGAAATCAGAGGCATTGGTTACTGCTGGATTGATTGACAGTCACCCCAGCCCAGTAAGGTCCTTCCCAGCCAGGCCTGCTAAATGCAGCCTATGAGGTTGAAAAATAACTCAGGTCTTCTCCAAGTCAACAAGGTGCCCAAACAGGTAGGAAGTTTGAAGGCCATGAATCCAAGCAATGTCATGAATCGCCTCCTTTTACTCAGTGTCTAAGGAGTGACTTTTTGCTCAGCCAAGCCAGGGTGCTGGACGGGGGACAGATTGTATTTGTCT